ATCAGTTATGGCAGACCAAGATAAATGAACCACATGTTATCAAATAAGCTTGCACAGAATATATTTAACAACAGCAAACTTGATTAAATATTCATTCACTTAATTCTAATTTATTATTTAATCTGAACAAACTCAACTTCTATAATTCAGTTGGTCCTGAATTCTGTAGAGTGGTAAGCATTAAATAATCACTGGAGTCTTTGCCCAAAAAGTCCCTCCTAAGCTAACAACTTGGTTTGGTGATTTGTCACAAGTTTCCGTTGGTGTGAGAATCCTTACCAAAGCGGGTATGTATACAGACTAGTGCCTCACATAAACAAAGGATATGGTGCTAATGTCTCAGGTTTCTCTTGGGAGAGACAGCATGTTTCTGTTTTTGCTTTGCCTATCTTCTTATGTAAAGGTTAATAGGACAGAGGCTAATTTAGAGGCCTTTAATTTTTCATCAAATCCCGCCTGCTGAGAAAGGAGTTATTTATAAATCTCTTAGCTTACCTCATACCTGGTGCTTTTGTCCAGTACTCGAGTTTTCTTTCTCAAGCCATTTTTCCTGTTCCAACTTTAATACACTTTCCAGTGCACCTTGTCATTCTGGCCCCTGTGTGAGAAGGCTGCTCCTTCTTTGACTATTTGGTCTGTTCATTTCCTTCTATACCTTCATGTCCCAGAACTCACCTCAATATAACTTTGTATGTTTTCCTAGGGCCATTAGGAAATTAAACCATTCCTAAACTATTATGACACATTTTGAGCCTTTTTTGGTACTCGACTGTCCAAAAATATTTCCAAGCACCTTCATATGTTGTTGTTGTTCATCTTTATCAAGTCCAGCTCACAGAGTTGGATTGCATGAACCTTAACTTGGAAGATAGTTGGAACCAGTCCAATAGGTTTTGCTAGGGTGTAATTCGGTCCCTTTACACCTACCCCTTGTTCCATCTTTGATCAGTACCATATTAGGGATCCTTCCTGAAACTTGGGGATGTCTTTCTTTCAACTGCCCAACAAACATCTATGACCACTTGGAAGCGTCTCAAATTGGAGTTTCTCTCAATTTGTCAGCTGTATACAATAGCCGTCTCATTTTAATTTCCTCTAGAATTTTTTTGTTAGCTTTCCTTGGATCTGGTTTCATTTCTTTGTATCTTAGGAGCCTGTTGGAACTTTCAAATGCAAATTTTTTTATAAGTTTTCATTACTGCTATGGGATAAGTATGCAGCACCCCAGTTATGTTAAAACTTTCTAGACTTAGATTGTTTTGTGTCCTATGCAGTGTTTTTAGCAACCATTCCAGCGCGCCACCAGGAGTCTTTAGAGATTGATTACCCAAGTTTTTGGTGAATAATCTCTGTCCAATGCTTAGTAGTTCCTTGGCCTTAAGTAGTATGTTGGCACTTAGTTTCTCTGGAAGACATTATGATGAAGGCTTCATCTTTTAGAGGGTGCTTTTAGTTTTAACTTCCTTCTTCTTGCTGATGAACCTGTAGTTTGCTCATTTCTTCTTATTTATTAATATGAATTTATCAGAAACAACCAAGATAATTGTATTATTAAATGGCGCTTGCTAAGAAATGAGTTAAATAATTAAAAATTATATTTTTTGAACTTAGTGGGTATATAAAAATTGGTTCATTGATTTTTTTAGCCCTGTATATGTATGTAATATATATTTATTTATATAAATATTATAAACATATGTATGTTATAATTTGTAAATTTAAATTTATTCTGCTAATAAAAAATTTAATTTTGTACATTGAACACTATCATATTAAAATAGAGGCACGATTGCCCTTATTCTAAATGTCGTGGTAGACTTTGGATTTCCTTTGTCACATACTAGATCATAGATTCTTGGCAGAGAGTCACGTTTGGCAAATAACAAAGCGACATTTTTAAAACACAAAAACCTTTTTCTATGGCCCTCCAATTGACTTGAGATCCAGTTCCCAAGCTGCAACCCTCTCGAAACAAACTCTAATTTAATTGAACAAAGTTTAAACATGATACAAATTAACAAAATAAATTTTTGAATTTATTGTTGCTAAATATTCAATTTAAATATAATTATTAAAGTCAAAGTAAATTATAAAGTTAAATAAATTATTAATCAGTAGATTTACTTAGATTAATGTAATACTACATCATTTAATCATAACAATAAAAATTTAAATAAAAAAACTTGTTTATATAAATTTAATAAACATTAATATGATTAAAAAGAAAATAAATAAAAAATTTGTCACTTTGGAGAGTAAAGAATTAAAGGGAAATATAATGCCCAACATAAATTTTTTTGTTTTATTTATGAATGCATCCATTAAAAACATATTAATTTATTTAATTTTTCTTATTGTCTTTACAGTATTTATAATATTTATACTTTGCTAGTTCTAAATTGTTTGTCATTTCAGGGTTTGCCTATTTTTTGCACTTCACCTATAAAATGAGCATATTAATATTAAATAAAAATTTCAGAATTTATAGTTCATATAATAAAAAGTAGATGAATGAAGGAATAAATATGTTCAAAAAAAGCCTACTTTTACCCCTATTTTTATATTCGACAAGCATATCAAATATTTATTAACGCTACCAAATATCTGTTTTATTTCTTCCCGATGGCGAATCCCGGGTGGGCGTGCGCTCTGATGAAAGGATCAGAGGTTACTCTAGTACGACGGGACGAAGGGTGGATGTCTGATGGAGTTTAAATATAGGCCGGAATGGCAAGGTGCCAGGTTGCGAGGCTTGCCCTGTGGGCAGACTGCCACAGACACCGATCTCTGCACCATAATAGATCGGACCGAACTCTCTTCTCCGAGAAGTATTTCTGTTACACAATATCATTAGCAAGTGCTGGGGCAGAGTGATCTACGGCGAATTTACCCGAACAGGGTGTAAACCGTTCATGTTCTACTTTGGTGTTACTTCAATTCAAATTACAGTTACGCCCAAGTGTTTGACGAAAATGCATTTTGATTTTTGAGATCGCCCTATGACCTTAAGCGGTTAACTCTATTTTGGAACGCCACTACTGAATAAATATATGCAAAGCTTAACTATGTTTTATTTTACTTTTAAGTTGTTTTTTTACAAGTTAAACTGAAGAGGCACATTGTTTAATTAGATAAATTGTAGTTGTTAAAATGAAATGAAGAATGTTAAAATGAAGAAAGAAAAAACCATATGATAAAAAACATAGGTTTCAGTTTCTTGTAAACCATGAAAAAATTTCATAACGTTTTTAAATGTGTCTAGGGTAATTTTATCAATTTGTTTAATTAATTTGATGTGATCAAAGTGCCTTGTGTTCCATTAATAATTATTTTTGGAACTTAAGGCATTTTGTTCACACCACATTAATATGGAGTTCAATAAGGCTAGAAGTTTGAAAATAAACAAGATATTTTCTTTTATGGAAAAAAACTAAAAAAAGTAAATTTTGTTTTTTAATTGTGCCAATATTCCTGCAAATTTAAGTAAAAATACCTTTTCAAAATACAAGATTTATCAAATAAAAAAAAGATTCAATAGTTTAAACACATAGTTAAACAGTCTACAATTGTCTTATTGTTTTAGTTTAATTTCATACAAAATTTTGCCAATAATATTTTTTTTCTTTTTAATAGAAACTTTGATGAAGAAAGTTCGGGCATTCTCAGTGGGACCATTTTCCCAGGATTGGCACCGGGGCGCGTCAAGGGGCATTGCCCCCATATTGTCTCAGACTGGTATAGCCCAACTATTTGCACTTATCTTTATTATTGTAATTATTTATCATGAAAATGTACAATTATAAAACGATGAAGTTAAGAGATCGTTTGTGTTAAATAGGGAGGATAAGCAAATTGATGATGAAGGGTTGAAAAAGAATAAGACTGAAATTATCATTAGAAAAACGGTTTTACAATTCCATATTTTAATTCCACTTTGGTTAAAACATTACTGACTATATAACCTCAAATCAGCATGTGTACAGAACTGAGCCTATTACTTATTGCAATCCACCAGCAATTTTGGCTTTCTAAATTTACAATAAATTACCAGTAAGCCTTGAGAATTACCCTCCCTGGGTGTTGGCAGAGTCAAACCTTGGTCTTATCCGTCCAGCGTTGGGCTTCAGGGGATATCAACAGCTAGGTCATTTCAGCCCCCAATGCGATCAGTCTCAATCCAAACCCACTCATTCTCTCATTTCACTCTTAAATGCATTCTTTCCTATTTACCTACTATTCACTCAGGGTGGTGTTATACTCAACATCACACTTATATATCTATTACATAACTAACCTAAGGGTCGATGGAGTACTCAACATTTTGCCATCTCTTACTCTATTCATTCGGGTGATCATGATCCGTCTTCTATGAGTCAGATCTTGATTGACCTATTGACTGGGATCTTAATGAAAGCTTCTCTGCCGACCTGGCCCACTGATATGCCACCATCTTTTAATCAAGTTTTTTAATGCTTTATTGTCAGAGGGCCAAATTGCAGTGGTTAGGTCCAGAGGTTCGGATGTCCAGGCCTTAACCAACTTGTCCACTTTTTCTTTACCCTTCAACCCTCTGATTAATTAATCTGCTGAATGTTATTTTAAAAAAAATGTTTTTAACGAACGAGCTGGTGAAAAAATTAACTAAACAAATTATATGGAGTTTTTCCACCCTAATATTGAGCCCCAAGATAATTTAAACTCAACTCCAGCAACAAAACATCACCAATTAATAAACGAAGTAAAATTCACACGAACAAATGATAAAATAAAGGAAAAAAATTAATGTAATAAATGATTCATAAACAGGACATATATTATTTTAAGGAAGAGTAAGGATAGAAAGGAAGTTTTTACTAAATGATCTAATAATAAAACAATAACATTTTTTATACAATCATGAAGAAATAAATGTACATCTTCACAAATTTGTTAAAGTAAATTGATACTTTAATAAAAATAGTAACGTTATAATTATTATTATCATTCCACTTGGTTTGATTTATTTACAATTGAAAAATGTTCTGGCTAAACAAGTGTAGCAAATTTACAAAAATAAATATAATACAAATATATAATTGCACTTTTACCATTGGCTTTAAAGAATTATCCTAGGCCGAGTTTAATGAGGATTAAGACGCCTCCATGGCCATTTTCTTTGGTTTTTCCTTGATAGGAGACGGCTTGATTTTTTCTAGGGAAACAATTTCATTAATGTTTTGACAAAATATTCCAAAATAACATACAAACCAGCCGGTAGATTCGGCTCATGGATAGGAACGTCAGGTAGGATCATGGATTTCTCCTTTTCGCTGTCTTCAAGCACCATTAGCTCGTTGAATTCCTTCTCGATATCCTCCATATCATCGTTGGATAGTTTTCCAGACAATATTTCATTTATTTCCTACATAAAAAAATTTAAACCTATGATTTGAGCCTGAAAATATAATGGTTTAATTTGAACCTGTTGTTTTTCATAGCCTTCATTCGTTTCATCCATTATCCTCTCAATTTCATCAATATTTAGCAATGCGTTCAAGCTCTTCAAGGCTTCATTTCCAACTTTGAGGCCATCCAAAACCTAAATTAATAAAGCCATTCGATCTTTAGTTCTTATAATTTTTTTACATATACATATTAATAATATTATTATTCACCCTCAATTCTACTTGAGAAAATTCAAGATCGTGAATCAAATTTTCAAGGTTTTCTAATTGGCCGTCAGTTTTTGCCAGTAAGTTTTCTTGATAACGTTTTTTCTTGAGCATTAGTTTTGCCCTCCTTAAATTAAAAAAATAATAATTAAAAAGTAATACGAGAAATTAAAATAAACTAGACTTACTCTCTTTGTCCAGAATTCAATAATTTCTTAGCAATTAATCTTTCCGATTCCAATTTATTTTCTATGCGTTTCTGGTACTGTTTTAGTTTGTCCCTCTGCTGTTTCACTTGCTAGAATTATAAAAAGTTTTGGAAAATAACAAATTAAAGACTTTCTTTTATTATATTTATAAAGTTGATTTTACTGGATTTTTTATTTTACTGAAACAAAGATATGACAGTTCTGATACATTTTTATTGCATGCAAGTGGTTTATTGTTTATTGTTTATTGCAAGGTGATGAACTGTGGGACAAATCAAGAGGATGGGCAGTTGAAGATCAGAGAAGTTACACAAACTTTTTCATTTATTTATTTATTTATTTTTGTAAGTAATGTCTTAATGAAATGACGACTCTACAAAACATTTCATAATAAATGCACATTATATAATATATTGATTTCAATTTAAATAAATAATGTAAGCAGGATAGCATTGTGAAAGGAGTTACGTCCCATTACAAACATTGCCTTTATCTTTAATTACGTTTTTGTCTTTCTGCTCTGATAAAAACGCTGTATCAGTTTACTTAGCAAATAATTAAAGTTTATTTTATATTTTGAACATTAAACATCCTAAAATATGAAGAAATCGATGTATAAAACTAGATACTTACTTGTATTGCAAGATAATAAAAAATCAAAATAAATTCCTACTATCAAAAATTTAATAATCAAATTTAAAAAAACTTTTGTAATATTTTATTGAGAGATGTAAAGTCCTATTCTCACTAATTGGCATCTTCAGACATGCTGATCTGGGCCATGTAGTCACACCCTTTTCACATTTTAGAAGAACATAATTAGAGATGAGCGAGCTACTAGATAAGTATCAGAAGTGCGGGTTTGTTGATTGGCGAAAGCTCAATAGGTCATGTACACAAATGATCTCAAGCTTATTCTTCATCAAGTAAAGAAAAGGCAAGAAGTTGTAGCTGTCTTAACAAATATTTTAGGCCAATAAAACATAAAGTAAGATGTCCAACTTATTCAAAATCAAAGGTATTTGACTGTGAACTAAGAAGCATATTGAGCAAGTGGTTTTTAAAGGATACCACAACCTCGGCTTTATCAAAAGAAACACCTCAGATTTTACAAATTTTATTACCATTAAAACTATCTTTTTGGGTATTGTTAGGAGTATTTCTGACTGTTTTGGTTTCCTTGAAATTTGCAGACATATTCAATCAAATTGGAAAAGGCCCAAAAAAGGTTCGTGAAATAAATAGTTTTTAAAATGGGGTTCAGATGGGAGGAAAAGTAATATGGTGCTTGGGCTCTGGGGTGCTGGCTCATGACCCTTAAGAGTCATACTTTGGTCCTAGGTATATGTTTTTTATGGAAGTTGGTGAATGGTATCTACGACTATCCAGAGTTATTAAGTAAAATAAATGTCCTAGTACCTACTAGAAGGAATAGAAATGTATGAATCGAACTGATCCATCTTCAGAGTCTGCAGTGTCCAGTCAGCTATTCCAACTATTAATCTAGTCTAATACGCCCTAGGTTTAGCAGTTCTGTTGTTAGTTTCTGCAATGGTCCTTTAATGAACTTTTTCTCAAGCCTCTTTTCTAGAAAAAATTTTCATTGAACTGAGAATTATTGTTTAATTCATAACCTCTCATCTGATGGATCAATGTTTCTTGCAATTTGGTATGCCTCATAATGTTCAGGGCTAGTAGGTGTCCTGATTAAATTTTCAATGGCCAATTTATCAACCTCCACATTGCCATTTGCTCATGTTTCTGCGACTATATACATAATTATGTCTTCGGAGTCTGCAGTGTCCAGTCAGCAGTCCAACTGCTAATCTAGTCATAACATGTCCTAGGTTTAGCAGTTCAGTTAGTAGTTTCTGCGATGGTCATTTAATGAACTTTTTATCATGCCTCTTTTCTATAATACATTTTCAACAAACCGAGGACTATTATTTAATTTCTAACCTATTGTCACATGGATCAACGTTTCTTGCAACGTTGCCATTTGCTCATGTTTCTGCTGCTATGTACATAATTATGTCTTTGGAGTCTGCAGTGTCCAGTCATCAGTCCAACTATTAATCTAGCCATAGCACGCCCTAGGTTTAGCAGTTGTCATTAGGTTCTGCGGTGCTACTTTAGCGATTTGTTCTCATACCTCTTTTCTAGAATACATTTTCATCAAACCAAGGACTATTATTTAATTCTTAACCCATTGTCAAATGGATCAACATTTCTTGTATGCCTCATACTGTTCAGGGCCAACATGTGCCCTCATCTCACTTTCCTTGGCCACTTGTACCCAGGCAAGGTTTTGAAATATATATTAACACATACAGGCTACAATAATTTGAGATTGTGCTGAAAATATATCAAGGTAAAATGCAGATAAAAAAATTTAAAGTTATTATTTTAAAAATGATTCTCAAAGTAATCAGTATTTCAATTAATTATACTTTTTTATCTAAAGTCTTGATTGAGATAGAAAGTATAATTAATTGAAATAATTAAATAGGTCAATTATGACCGCTAAACATATATGGATTAATGGAATCAGTATTATTTATAAATTATTATTTATAAAACTATTATTTAATTTATTATTTTTTATTTTAACCAGAGTGAATTGAACAACATATTCCTCACCCGTTTATGCTAAAAAATTAGTTAAATGTTAATAAAAATGCACATGACTTGTCAAAATTATCAGTCATTTCGACAGTCAACCAAATGTCAGTGATGACAAGAAGCTTCTACTCACAAGAACTGCTTTGTCGTGCTCAGTGACCCTGGAGACTTTTTTACTTCTTCCGAAAAAGTTTCCCATTGTTTTCAAATTATAATTAAATGGGAAAACTCTTTAAAAAAATTGAATTCCGACTCCACCCGAGGTCGAGCCTCGTCAAAACAAAACTTAGCCTCGGCCTTATAACATGAAAGTAACCTGGCGAAGTTAAGTTTATCAGTTTATCACTGAGTGCTCAAAATCGGTTCTGCTGTTTCCAATCATGAGCTCGGTTTCAAGCTAAAACACCGAACATATACAACTTATGTTTTTATTCAAATGCCAAGTTAAAAGAGGAAATTACACGTTTTCAACTTCCCACTGTTCTTAGCCAGACGCTCAGAGACCCTCGGCCCCCGTGGAAATGGAAGAAAATATCACCGTCGGTTGAAAGGGAGACGGCATATTCGCCCCTGGGGAAAGTGGATCGGAGTGATTTTCCGCATTCCTCTTTTCTCCCTCCCAACGTTTTCCTTTCTTTCCGTTATCTAAGAGTATGATTCTGTCCGGACAGAGGTTCGCGTCAAACCTCAATCGAAAGGTCGGCCCCTAGCTGAAGATAAAGACCCACCGAGAGGCCAGGAACGACCATGGAATCGGACTGATTTCGTCAGTAGACCTTCCATTAATTGTTCTCAAGGAGAAGGATAATAAAAAACGGCCATGGACGAGCTAAGGTAACGCTTACTTCTTTCAAAAATATAAAAAAATATTTATTTTACAACCAAAGCTTATTAAAATTATAGTTACAAATATACTTAGAAGAGCTAATAAGATTTAATAAGAAGAACTAGAATTACAATACAATAACAACCGATTCGTCATTTTATTATTAAATAAAACATAGCTGTAAATATACGCGTTTTATATGAATTTCAGTCCCATAAGCAGATCTCCAATTGCAAAGTTCATAGACTCGTTTGTTCTGAAGTCACTCTCAATAGTCCATAACAACTTTTGTTGATTGTTGGATTCAACCACAATGCTGTTATATAAAGACTTTATTTTAATCCATATATGTTTACTTAGTCATAATTGACCGTATTATTATTTGTTAATTAATTAGACTTTTCATCTAAATTCGTCTTTGTTGAGAAGAAGAAGCCAGTGCCACGAGTGGGATTCGAACCCATGATCTTAGGCTCTAACACTTGAGCTATCGTGACTTTGATCCACTCGGACATCAACTCGCCATATCAAGCTGGCCATGGGGTTAGCAAAGTAATTACTTTTTTAAATTATACTTTTCATCTAAGGTCTTTGTTGAGATGAAGAAGCCAGTGCCACGAGTGGGATTCGAACCCACGATCTTAGGCTCTAACCACTTGAGCTATCGTGACTTTGATCCATTCGGACATCAACTTCCCATACAGAGCTGGCCATGGGGTTAGCGAAGTAATTTCTTTTTTAAATTATACTTTTCATCTAAGGTCTTTGTTGAGATGAAGAAGCCAGTGCCACGAGTGGTATTCGAACCCACGATCTTAGGCTCTAACCACTTGAGCTATCGTGACTTTGATCCACTCGGACACCAACTCCCCATACAGAGCCGGCCATGGGGTTAGCGAAGTAATTACTTTTTTCAATTATACTTTTCATCTAAGGTCTTTGTTGAGATTAAGAAGCCAGTGTTACGAGTGGGATTCGAACCCACGATCTATCGGACGTTGATCCACTCGGAAACCAACTCCCCATATCGAGCTGGCCATGGGGTTAGCGAAGTAATTACTTGTTTCAATTATACTTTTCATCTAAGGTCTTTGTTGAGATGAAGAAGCCAGTGCCACGAGCGGGATTCGAACCCATGAACTTCAGCTCAATACGCCTAAGCTCTAACCCAGTGATTCCCAACTACTGTGCCGCGGCACTTTTGTGTAACGCAAAAGTCTTAAAGTGTGCCGCCAAATTTAACAATGTATATAGTAAAAATTATAATGCTTTTTTTATTATGAGTAAAGTTTAAATTACAGAAAAGTACTTTTATGTATGAATATGAAATATAAATGAAATTATCAAAAAACATCAAGCTCAAATTGCTCATTAAAAGTATTCTTATTATTAACGTGTAATTTTTTGTAGTTTTTGTAGTACATATTATTTTATTTTACATTCAAAATTATTATCATAAACTATTTTACACAGTGTACTATAGGGAAGTAACAAATTTTAAACTTATATTTTTCTTTGTGTGTCACCAAATTTTGAAATTGTTAAAAGTTTGCTGCGACAAAAAAAAAAAAAAAGTTGAGAATCACTGCTCTAACCACTTGCATCTCATTCTGATTACATGGCCTTTGAAGATATGGCAAAAAGAGGGAAAAATTTGAAAGGTTGTTAATTTAGATATGGGGGTTGGTGCCAGAGTGGATTTCTAAGGTTTTGGTTGAAATGAAAAAGTCAGTGCCTTGAGCAGGATTTACACCCATGACCTTCGGCTCAATACGCCGATGCTCTAACCACTTGAGCTATTATGATAGCTTTGACCCACTCAGACACCACTCCCATCTCAACCAGCTAGTTTTTGCATTTTTTCCATTTTTTGCCATATTTTCAAATGACATGTAATCAGAGTTAGATTCTCAGCAACTTATGAAATGGCCACAGGGAGCTGTTTGCAGAGTTTCTTTTAATTAATTGTACTCTTCATCTAAGGTGTTGGTTGAGATGAAAAAGTTAGGGCATAAACGAGATTCGATCCCACCAACCTTTGGTTCAAAACGCTGATGTTTTCACCACTTGAGCTATTGTGGCTTTGATCCACTCAGACACCAACTCCCCATTTCAATCTTTCGAATTTTTCCCCTTTTTGCTATACTTTCAAATGTCATGTAATCAGAATTAGATTCACAGTTATAATTGAAAAAATTAATATGGTCAATTATGACTGCTAAACATGTATGAATTTATATAATAATTAAAAGAAGTAATTACTTCACTAGCAGCTCCCCATGGTCATTTCATAAGTCACTAAGAATCTAATTCCGATTACACGACATTTGAAATATGGCAAAAATAGGGAACAATTTAAAAGATTGTAAATTGAGATGATTATTCGGAAATCCTGAGATGCAGTCTGGTGTCTCACGATTTCCGAAAAATCATCGACTAACAGTCACTAATTACCAAATGTAAATTGAGATGGGGGATTCCTGTCATCCTGTCGAGTGGATCAAAGTCACGATAGCCCAAGTGGGTAGATCTACAGCATATTGAGCTGAAAGTCAGGAGTTCAAATCTTGTTCTTGACACTGACTTTTTCATCTCAACTACGACCTTAGATAAATAGTATAATTAATTAAAATAAGTAGTACTTTGCTAACAGCTCCCCATGGCCATTTCATAAATAGCCGAGAATCTAATTCTGATTATATGACATTTGAAAATATGGAAAAAAAGGGATTCGGAAAAAATCCGAAAGCTTGTAGGCTTCGCACATGTGTATGTAGCTAGGCTTGTATAAATCAGTAATCAGTTAATACTTTTTAATTGTAAGTCCAGTCTATTTTACATTTTAGCTTTCAATCTTTAAATTGAAAGTAAATAGAGATTAGATAATTCCTGATTAAATGGTATAAGTATCAATACACATTTACTGATTATCAAACTTTTATGCATTTATAAATTGTTTGCTTTTCTTTCTACAAACAATTTACGTCAAGGGTCTAAATTTTTCATTTGTGGTGTTAAACATCTCTTCTCTCTTTAATTCATATACGTCATTAAAACTTTTGTACAAAATGGATTATAAAGGTGTACTTAGTGAAATGGTTGAAAGAGAGCAGACTGTAAATTTAAGTTGAAGATAAATTACGAACGATTTTAGCTTTATCGGAATTGATGGTTATAGTCAATTCATTATATTTACATGATTGTGTGAATGAAATTTTTCTTATTTAAAAAAATAAATAAATAAACAAAATCAGCACTGAAATATACATACTTATAAGTAACGTTTTCAATTTTTACTACTCTAATATTTTTAATTTTTTCTTTATTTCCTCAGTGTAATGTCGTAGTATTATTAACTCAGAGGACATGATATATAGTAATATTAATAAAGTTTCTTGCAAAAAAAAAAAAATAAAATAAAATGAAATAAAAATAACTCAAAGATAAAAAATCTGACAGGCATATTTTATTGTTTATTTCCAACTATATGTATTTTTATTGTTATATATTTTATACTTATTTTAATGTAAAACAAATTAAACAAAATTAGAAATTCACAAGTTTTAATAAAAATTATTTAATTATGATGGTTTGAAAGAAAATTAACCAAAAAACTGGAAAATCATTTAGTAATAGAATAAATTTATTACCTGGTTTGGTCTTAATAATGGCATGTCAAGCACAAAATATCAGTGTCTTGATTTTGTTTGTCTTTTGAGTGTATAAATGTAAATCGGCTTGGTCAACAGAGGCAAGTAATCTCATACAACATGAAAATTTATAGAAATAATAAATGGTGGAGTGAGTGTGTTGTTCTTTTTAAAAAGATAATAATAATAGAGACTAAAAATCTATTCTCAATGTAACGCTTTATGTAGGCAGAAGAGGAAGCTGGTCAGAGCTTGAAATGCACCACAATGAGAATAAATAGAAATGTCAAATATAATATAATGGTACTTAACATGCTGCCATTGACTCTCTCACACTACTTCATGCTAATAAATACATTCACTCTCAGTACACACTAGGGTACACAACAATATTGGCACTGTATACAATAAAAAACCTATTCTTCCAAGAATTGGAACAGGGAACCCAAATACTCACTACCATGCTCAAGAATGCTTAGATGTTCTATAAATGGAGCCAAGGAATTACACCCTTTAATTAAGTGAGACACATCAAGCTACCTTTCTCTGCATATCGGACACATATGTGGGCTTTGGCCTAAAAGTAAGTGTCTCTGTGTCAACCTCGCATGGCCTATTCTTAATTGGGTGAGGATGATCTCTCTTCTTTAAGTCAGATCCTCCAAGGGCTACACTCTCAAAACGTGAGAACTTCTCTGCCGATCCTGCCCACTGATGCTGCCACATTCTTTGAATCATGTTTTTTTATTGCATTTTTAGCATCAGAGCGCCATATCACAGTTGTTGAATTTGGAGGTTGGGGCGCCCACTCCATAATTAAAAATTGTTTTTATTTCAGAATAAGAGTTGTGACTTACAATGTTGCTGGTAAATCCCCATGTGAAGATTTAAACGAGATGTTCAATCTTGAAGGGATACTGGACAATAAGTTACCACCAGACTTCTACATCATTGGGTAAAAGTCCTATTTGCATCCATAGTCAGTACCATTTTATATTATGTTATTTTCAGCCTACAGGAAGTAAAATCGACACCTCACAATTACATACTTGATACACTATTCTCTGATCCATGGACTAAAGTCTTCAGGTAATATTTGGAAAAAAAAGGTTTGGTTTCTTTACAGTCAAGGAATTTATTAAATAAATGCTATTGTTCAAGGGATTTGTTAGCTCCTTATGGGTATGTGAAAGTGAAGACAGTAAGGCTTGTTGGCATCGTTATGTCCATGTTTTGCCTTCGGAAACATATAATTCATCTCAGGGATATGAAAACATTGTGTACAAGGACGGGACTGAAAGGTTTATGGGTAAGTGGGTTTTTTTAAACGTATTATTTTGACCAAAATTCAAAGTATGAATTTCAGGGTAACAAGGGAGGAACATCACAAAGGCTACAGATCTACGGTTGTTCACTTTGTTTTGTCAATTGTCATCTAGCTGCACATGATAAATACCTGAAAGAAAGAATATCAGATTACAACACAATTCTTAACTATCAGAAGTTCATGCATCTTGTAGAATATCAGCACATACTATTTCACGAGTGCGTTTGTGTATAAATGTTTTAAAAAGAATATTATTAAAACTTTTTGTCGGTTTTTCAGTTATATTTTTTGGTTTGGAGACCTTAACTTTAGACTGGCTGAAGATTCACTTTCTGCAGAAGAAATCCTTATCAAGATAAATTCCAAAGAATACAAAACTCTATTGAATCTAGACCAACTCAAGGCTGTCATGGCGTCCGGCGAAGCGTTCAGCGAATTAATCGAACCTGACATTACTTTCAAGCCCACTTATAAATATTTTGCAAATTCAAATGAATACGACCTTGGGTTGGTTTTTACACTCGAAGTTTAATTTCAGTTTAAATATCAAGATGTTTACAGACGACGGCCTGCCTGGACTGATAGGATTTTGTACAAAGTGAATGAAAACGTATATGAGAATGTGACCCTAAGTGCAAAGCCAGACTGTTACGAATCTGTCGATGAAATATGCGTGAGCGACCACAAGCCAGTTGTAGCGACATTCACAATAAAAGTAACTCACATTACATAGATTTTTAGTATATTTAAACAACTGGTTAACTGTGTTTCAGGTTTTTAGCAATTACGCCGAAAGGTGTGTGCGCATAGCACCAATAGGTAATTGGTACGCCAATACAATAAACAAAGCGTTCTGTTTCCTTGGAGAGGATGTTCAACCCAGCATCTGGGATTGGGTTGGCGTCTTTCAAGTAAGTCGATACATTAATATAAACAAATATTTTATTGGGGAACATTGTGAGGTCTGCTGATGATTCAGTTTATATGAGAATCATGTTGATTCTCCAGACCAACCAGAAGAGAAAGCTAACCAAATTAGGACAAGATGATGACAAACAATTGTGTTAAATGTTTCCCCTATTTTCACAACCCAACTACTTTAGATAAAGGCAAAAACTGCGCCTAGAAGTTTGGGAAATAGGGATTTCAAAAAGATGACAATTATTTAAAGAGAGATGTGTTTACATCTTTGTTCCTGGAAAATTAACTAACATCCAAATCAAATTCTAGATCAGTGATTCTCAACCATCAACGTCAAGAAATTCTTAAAGTAATCTGACAAATTTTAGAAATGTATGTAGTAAAAACTATAATACTTTTTTTATTACGAGTAAAGTTTAAATTAAAGAAAAGTACTTATATATATGAATATGTTAAAATTATTAAATAATATAATTCAAAAAGAAAATATACAAATTATTTTAACAGGAGTAGGTTTTTAAATCCATAAAAATATTTTTAATTACGTGTGGTGATTAGTGACCATTAATCGATAATTATTTAGAAATTGTGAGATGCGGTCTGGTGTGATGTAGGTTTCAGAAAAACATTTTCTTTATCATGCCAGCGTTTCGATCTTGAGATCATCTTCAGGGCTCAGTAAAGATAGAAACGTTGGCACAATAAAGAAAATGTTTTTCTGAAACCTACATCACACCAGACCGCATCTCACGATTTCTAAATAATTATTTTTAATTACTTTTAAACTTATCTTTTTCTTTGTGTGCCGCCAAATTTTGAAATTGTTAAAAGTGTGCTGCGACAAAAAAAAGGTTGAGAATCACTGTTCTAGATTATCGTTATATATTTTTAAGATCTCTTAATTTCCCAATTTATTTGTACTTTTTGAAGTAATCAAAAATATTTCAAACTTGTAATATCCTTCCAATATGCAAATTTATGCAATATTCTTCAAATATGGAAAAATTATGCAGAATAAAATTCTAACCATTTTACCACAGAGGTACGATTCAGATAAATATGTATCTATCTGATCACCATGATCACTATTTGTTTTCTATTTAGGAGAAAGTACTGTCCATAAGTGGTTTGCTAAGTTCTGAAGTGGAAATTGTGATTTGGAAGATGATTGCTCTGATCATCTTCAACCGTTAATTACGACCAAATTCAAGTTTTTGATATAAATAACCTCCACTCAGTTATACAATTCATCTCATAGACACTGGACATATCTCATACAAGCATTTGAACACATCTAAGAACAGTTGTGTTTGTCTGAGCGATGATTCATTTCTAAAATGCAGTGTAAACATTTTTAAAAATATTGATAATGGGATGGAAAATACTTCACAAAAATATTCAGAGAGGAAAATCCTGGCAGAAACACAGCCACTGTTAAGAACTCGAAAAGCCAGATTATTTCCGAAGAAGCCTATGTTGTGCATTTGGTGTGATTGTTAATTCGTTAATTCTAGTGTTACTGCGCATAATTGGAATGATTAACATGACAAAAACAGCCGGGATTGTCTAATAACAAGGGGGTTGTTTTCCACCAGGACTCGCCCCCAAATTTCTACGGAGACCACATTCGCCTGACATTGCTCCTTCAGATGTCTACCTATTTTGGATTCTGCAAACCTATTAATGAGAGAAGCTATACTCGAGGACTACAGAAAACACCATTGGTCAAAAAACTGAGTATAGCTGGGAGGACAAAATTACGTGAAAGATGGCAACATATAGTTGAACAAAATCGTATTGGTGATTTGAATTTGTTTACAAGTTCCCAAAATTTTCATTGAATTAATTACCATCAAAAATGTTACCAGGAAAATCAGTGGAAACTGCGTTGCACTCACTAATAGGCAGGATCGGGAAATCATTATTTAATAATGAATATACACTAGGTTGCTTCTTCGATATCCAAGGGGCGTTTGATAATGCTGATACTTCTTGCATTATATCAGCATTAGATAATTACAATGTCAACCATCACCTTACTAGATGGGTGAAGACCTACTTGGAGGGGAGGATGGTCAATATGTGCTTAGGTGGTATCACTCTTGGAGTTAATGTAAAAGGAGGCTGTCCACAGGGAGGCTGTTTGTCACCTCTTTTATGGCTAATTACAGTAAACAGCTTAATAGAACTTCTGAATAATTCAGGCTTCTACAGCCAATTATTTTCAGATGATGGTACCATAATGCTCACAGGTAGGGATCCCCTGATTCTTTCACTACTGATGGAAAACACCATGGGATTACTTTATGGGTGGTGTTGTGACAAAGGTTTATCAATTAATCCTGCTAAACTAGATAATGTTTAGCAGGAGAAGAACATTAGGTAATTTTAAAAACCCTAGGTGTCAGGGCATAGAATTAAAGTTAGTGGATTCAATCAAATAACTTGGTGTGACACTTGTCAGGAAACTTGATTGGAAAGGTCATATTAATAACATATACAGGAAAGGCACCATATCAATGGTACAATGTAGGAGAATTGTCGGTAAAACATGGGGCATCAAACCATGGGTAGCCAAATGTCTATATACTGCAATTATTCTACCTAGATTCTTTTTCGCAGCTTTAGTGTGGTGGAAAGGTCTAGAAAATAAAGGGAATAGTAATAAATTAAGGTCATTTCAAAGACTAGATTGTTTGAGCATTTTCAACTACACCCACCCTAGCACTTGAAATCATAACCAATATCACACCATTTCCTATTGAGGTTAAGGTCAGAGCACTAATCAGCTCCTACAGATTAATTAGCGAGGGCAGCTGGAATCATAAGTGCAATAACATAGGTCACTCGAAAATCTCTCAACTATTGAGTAAGGTTAACAGTCAATTATTAAGCGTTAGTGATAAAAACATTAAAACCCCTTCGGGGAAAAAGCACTTTCAGGTAGAAAAGGCGGATGGCCTAGCCAAAGAAGGTTCTAATACTTCGTTTGTTGGGCCACAACCGGTATTATTACCTCACTCTATGAGCACAGCGAAAGAGAGTATCAATAACTGGGGCATGAAACAATTCCTTAGGGAATGGAATTTATCCTCCGGACAATCGAAAGAGTTTGTTAAGGCGATCAAACCAGCAGAATCGAAATGGCTATTCTCTATCTCAAGGAAGGGAGGCCGATAGGTATTCTGACGGGCCACTGCCCACTGAGAAGACACCTCTTCGTAATGGGCATCCTACCAGATCCCTTGCTGCGAAATAAAAGAAGAAACGGCAAAGCACTACCTCGCAGAATGTGATAGGTATGCTAGGTCTAGATTTGAAATCTTTGAAGGAGAGGACATCACCAATCACTCCCCGAGATAAAATGGACCAAAATCTTGGGGTTTGTGAACAAGTCCAAGAGGTTTATGCAGGACACGTGAGCCGACCAAGTCCCGGACCTTTTAGGGATGATGTACGAGTCTACCCAGGCATTTAACCCCTCGGGTCTTGGTCGCCCACCCTGCATAATATATATATATATCAAACAATGTTACTGACCTATTTTGCAAGCTAATGTAATATCTCTTTAGTCATCCTGGTTGGCTATTGTCATTGGTTTTGTCAGATATGTTTTGGCTTTTCTATATCTTTGGCTGGTCTTTGTTATCAATTATGACCGTTTTTATTTTATTTTATTCATGTATTTATTTTATAATAGAAAATTAAAAAAGTTCATACCATTTCTAGAATAAATCATTCTTTGCATACAGAAAAATATATATATTTTTTAAAGTAGACAAACTTGTCTATAAGCTTGCAGTCCTCACAATAGTCTGTAACTATAAATATTAAGGTTTAAATTAAACAGTTTTCAATTTGTATTACAATATCCTGTTTTTCACCTAGGATGGCTTCACAAGTCTGGAAGAATATGTTGCTTTTATATACATATCCAACAACCACACTGATCTGATGGGGACGACAGTGGCCGTGACGCCACCCAAGAATGGGGATAAAATAGAGCTGAACTTTTATGAGAATATTATCCGAATGCCTGGCAAATACCGGCTGCTCTATTTCACGCATGATTCTGGCAGCGTACTTGGGATGAGCCAGCCGTTTGAGTTGGTCGGGAGCGACGAGCAGCCAGGTGCAAGCCTGGAGTGGTGACAAACACCTCACATCCTCACTAAACCTTAATCAGTGGGTGGGGGTGTGACAATAAAATAAATCACACTATTGGAAAAAAATTCTGTGATTTCAAATCTGTTTTCTACTATTTCATCGAGCATATTTCATAATTAATATGTTCAATTTTTTTGTTTAAAACAATATCTTTTTCAGAACTCTGAAAACCAGGTGACACTGGATATTTTAACCTGGCATCTTCCACAATTTTTTTAAATCCAATTTTGATTTTTTTTTTTTAACAGAGATTAGTATGATGATTAAAAAGTAGAAAATCTATGTGATAAAATTGGTCCATTGTCATATAATTGCATTAGTATTTTAGTATGGAGCACGGGGATGATAGATTATTTAAAACAAGCTACAGAAGGAAGAAGGGAAGGAACAAAAAATAAAAAAATATTCTCAGTATTTCAATTTGTTCAATTTTTTTCTCCATGTATGGTGTTGGTTAATAATGTTTTCAAACACATATCTTAAATCTATGTAGTTATAAAGCTTTATTTTATTGCTAGCAAGTTACCTAGAATTATTGAAGTCTACATAGACATATATTCTTCACAAACAAGTACAAAGGTTTTCTTAGTGTGTAGTGCTGTTAGTATAAGCTAATGTTGAGTGCAATAATTGTAAGCTCATGTATCTGTGCAAAAAAGAGATATTTTAGAAAGTTTAACTACTTCAGATATTTATTTATTGTTTAAAGAAAAAAAAGTTTCATCATAATTTAGAAAAAAAAGTTTGCTTATCCTATATTGATAAAATATATTTTTTTTAATTAAAAATTTACTTGTTAGTGCCAAACACATTTTGGGTTGGTTTGATTTTTAAATGTGGTAAAAGAAATGTTCACTTTTCAAATTCTATTTGACAATATTTGTGTGATATGTTTTTACACTGAGCATTTTTCTTATTTTTTCCACCAAAACTGTTTAACTGTAGAAACAAAGTTTACAATAGTTAATTTGGATGTTTTTTTGTTGTCATTTTAAAAAGTTTAGCTTTATAAATTTGATCATTGATCTCTGTTTATAACCCCCAAGTACCATCTGAACTTTGAAGTATTTGTTTGTTTGCATTTAGCCAATGAATCGGGTATGGTTACTCGTCTGAAAGTCTGCTAGGAACCAAGATTTTATAATAAAATTAATATTTTTTTATTGAAAAAAATTATATATATGTATTCAGGTCAGGAAAGCCGAATTCCTAAAGCACTGAATTTTAGTACTGATTTTTTTACACTAGATTATAATTTTAAAGTTGTTCATCACCGTTGTTTAATTAGTTGTTGATGTAGTGAGTTTCACATGTAAAGTGATCAGTATGGTCAAATAGATGTTTTATTTTGTTACAATTTTTTGTTTTGATCCCATCAAAATGTTGACTGTTATGTGGTTATTATTTCACATATCAACAGATTTGTTGAGTATTTAATAAAATATAGCTTGTTATTTTGGGAAAATATATTGAATAAAAAAAACAATAAAATTATGAAGTGCCTAAAATATTGTTCCATAAAAGTATTAAACAATTTTCTGTACTTAATATTAACTGTGGTAGTATACATAAACGTTAAATTAGAACATTTAAATAAGAATTTATAGTTATGAATAAAAAGCTTTTATCTTTAACCTTGTTTTTTTCCTTTTAATTTTGGTTTGTATATTTGGAATAAATATACAGATTGTCTCAACCAGGAGTGTGAACTATCAGGTAAGCAGAAAAGTGTGTGCAGTTTTTTCATTTTTTATTGTTTTAATACCATTAATCAACCTTTCTAACTACATAGGAGGATTAGGTGTTTACATCATGTAATACCAAAGGTTAATATCTGTTAGTACCAAAAGTCACATAGTACCAAAAGAAAAATTGTCTTGAACAGTTCACTGTAAATTTTTTTTTCTCATGGCTTCAAAGCCCATGATTCGTGCCTGCTTATTGCATGAATTTTACCTCGGTATGGCCGATGCGGCTCATAAAATTTGCACTACATTTGGTGATGAAACAATAAGTGAGTAGACTGCCCAAAAATGAAAATACACCATTGTAGAATAGAAATGATGGATTGAGTGCGGTGTTCAATCTTTTTTAAAAATCCGGATTTTGAACTTTTAGCTCATCATCAGATTGAAGGAGTTCTACAACCTGATGATGAGCTAAAAGCTCAAAATCATGATAGTTGAAAACAACTTACTGTGAGTAAGAACTACCTTGTCCTGATGACAAATTGAGGGAAGCTATTGAATTGATGCAAATCAGTCATCAGTGTTCAACATAAGCAATGAAACGATTCTCTCTAGCTGAGCAAATAGGTTACTCAAAAATTGACTGATGGTAACATGCTTCAGTGCAAAGTTTATTTATTTTTTTATTTTTATTGTCACATGTGATGGAAAATGGATAGTGTACAGTCATTGTCACATAGCCTGTCACAAAATGACCCTGCCCCATTAATATGAAAACTTCACTAACAATAGGTGAGGCTTTGTGTTTGGTAGAATACTTTTTAACTACTTTAGGGGAATGTGCTTATTTATTGTTCATCACTGTATGACTGATTTCAAATGAAATTATTATGCATTTTCTGCATCATGTTCCAGAAAAAAGGTTCCAAATGATCCGTTATTACGGCTTTTTATGTGCAAAAAATGTTAACAGATATCGTTTATTCTTTAAGGACAATTTGGTGTAAGTATAAGCTCCATTTTGTTCAAATATTCCATGCCCCATTCTAAGGGGAGAGATTGTAGAGAAAAAATGTTTTCCCTTGTTGACCCCAGAGTAGGAGGGTTTTTTCTTAATTTTAGGGAATAGATCTCTATAATACTTTCCTACCACTGTAGTATCATAATCCGGCCATGACCTGGGTTAGTTTAAAATTATTCATCAAAGTTAGTTGCTACCTGCTGTTAATCGTTGGAAAGAAGAATTTAGTTCGTCTTCCCTTCTGCACACTGGAGCTTTGGAATATACACAAATAAATGTGTGATTAGTGACCGTTAGCCAATGATTATTGTGAGATTGTGAGGTGCGGACTCGTGTGATGTAGGTTTTAGAAAAACATTTTCTTTATCGTGCCAACAGTTTAAAAGTTGATCTCTAAACACAGCATCAATTGCAGAACAAACCATGTAAATTCAGTCGCAGCTACGCCAATATCATTAATCAAATTCAATATAGATAACATATCATCATCACATCACACAAAACATACAATATAACATATAAAACAATTTTTTTATCTCAACCAAAACCTTAATTAATTGAATGTAAAACAATCATCACACTCCACACATTTCTACATAGTCTAATTTTTCAACAATATGGCTTTCCTTTCCCTAATTATCCTCGTCTATATAATCCTGAAAGGATAATCACACTGAACCATTACCCACGTTTTTTTCCCATTGTCGGTTCCTTTCACCTCAAAGAAGCCGACTTCTCACATAAAAATGTCTTTCTATCCTGACTTCCTTCACCACCCTTCAAAATCCAATGTATATAAACATAAAACATCAATATCTCATTGGCACTGTTAATTCGACACACAAGAATGGTACAATTACCCAGAAAACGAACACTTTGAGTGAGTACAAATACTTTAATTCAGTCTAAAATTTCTAGCATTGTATAAATTCATTTTTTTTTCTTTGTTTCACATCCTACATGTATTGTAAAATTAAAAATTTTTAAAAATCCCAGGCCCTGAAGATGATCTCAATAATACTCGAAACGTGGCACAATAAAGAAAATTGTTTTTCTAAAACCTACGTTACACCAGACTGCATCTCATGATTTCCAAATAATCATAAAAAATTAAATTGGAAAGCATATATCAAAAAGAAAAGGACAGAACTTGATTTCAAATACCGTCAACTTTATTGGTTGCTGGAAGACAAAATTAATAATGATTTATAATCACATATTAAAACGTACATGGATGTTTGGTGTACAACTTTGGGCGTGGGCAAAAAGTGAAATAAATCATGACAACGGTCCCAAAATAAAGTTCTACGGAATGTGGTACATGCTCCTTGTTATGTTCGCAATAGCAACATACTTAAATACACAGAGATCTGAACATCCCGCATATCGACACTGAGATCACACGGTGTGCTTATAACTTATAAGCATTACCTACATCTTCAAGGCCATCCAACAACAAGGGCAACCGCCTGCTGCATAGTCAGCACATCATAAGACTACTCAAGATGACAAAGTCATCTGAGTTAGTTCTGTAAGAAGTTACGAGGTGAACTCAACTAGACAAACTTGATACTGAGGGCACTTAACAGTATATTACTAAATTAGCCATTGTAAAATTAATAGATGGTCTCACTCTTACTTTCAAAATCACTGGTATGTAGCAAATGTATTGACCTATTACGCTAAACATAACATAAAACAGCAATATCTCTGGCACTCGCAATACGACACACAAGAATGACACAATTACGCAGAAAAACAACACTTTGAGTGAGTACAAATACTTAGATTGAATCTAAAATTTTCTAGCATTGTATAAAAAAAAATTTTCATTCAAAATTTTCTAGCATTGTATAAATTCTTTTTTTTAATCTAAAATCTTCTAGCATTGTATCAATTCATTTTTTTTAATCTAAAATTTTCTAGCATTGTATGATGTTTTTTCATTTAAAATTTTCTAGCATTGTATAAATTCATTTTTTTAATATAAAATTGTCTAGCATTGTATAAATTCATTTTTTTCAACTAAGATTTTCTAGCATTGTACAAATTCATTTTTTGTAATCTAAAATTTTCTAGCATTGTATAAATTCATTTTTTTAATCTAAAATTTTCTAGCGTTGTATAAATTCATTTTTTTTAATCTAAAATTTTCTATCATTGTATAAATTTATTTTTTTAATCTAAAATTTTCTAGCATTGCATAAATTCATTTTTTGACTACAATTTCCCAGCATTGTATAAATCTATTTATTTTTTATTTTATTTTATTTTTATCTAAAATTTTCTAACATTGTATAAATTCATTTATTTTTTTATTTTTTATTGTTTTAATTTTTTCTTAAAATTTTAGATTAAAAAAATGAATTTATACAATGCTAGAAAATTTTAATCAAAGTATTTGTACTCACTCAAATATTACAATTTTTTATATTTTTTAATTTTAATTTCATTTTTTAAATTAAATTTTAATTTTAATTTTAATCTAAATACTTTGATTAAAATTTTCTAGCATTGTATAAATTCATTTTTTATCAAGTTTTCTAGCATTGTATAAATTCATATTTTTAATCTACAATTTTCTAGCATTGTATAAATTCATTTTTTTCACATCCTACATGTATTTGTAAAATTAAACAATGTTTATAAATCCCAGGCTCTAAAGATGATCTGAATAAAGACCGAAACGTTGGCACGATAAAGAAAATGTTTTTTTAAAACCTACATCACGCCAGAACGCACGTCACGATCTCCAAATAATAAACAAATAACTTGTAGCAGGGATAGTTTAAACCAGTAAAATGGATGGGTCTTTATGGTTTAGTATCATTTGACGCCGTTTAATTGTTTGCGAATGAGGGTTAATCCTTTCACGGCGTCAAATGATACTAAACCGTAAAGACCCATCCATTTTACTGGTTTAAACTATACCTACTTCTTTATTTATGTTTATTTATATTTCCAAGACTCCAGAGCATCTGCCAATAGGTAATTTTCTCCATAATTCGTAATGTCTCAATCATACATTGAAATCCAATTTGCTTCTTGTTTTTTTGTTTGTGTTTGTTTATTCCAAAATATCGGCCCCCCGAGGATTCGTATAACCTCGTAGTTGAAATACCCCCGTAAAAAAATCTTACTACGACTTTTGTTGGGTGCAGATTTTCCATGACAACCGGAGCTATTCTTGACGGCAGAGCAGAGATGAAGGTCGGCCAGTTTCTCAAGCAGCCAGCGACCGAAGGAGAGCCCGAAGACGGAGACAATGATGGTTTAACACCTTTGTCGAAAAACAAATCCACATTTGGGCACAAGGTGAAGGATTATCTGTTGGTGATTTTACGGTAAAATGCAGAGAAACTGGGCGGTGATTGGACCCGGACTGGTGAATCGAAAAGGTATTACATGAACGTTTATAAACTAATTTCTCCAGGAATTATTCTCATCAAAAATTAAACGAGTTATCATGTTTTAGTGAAAGAAATATTCAATAATCTATATAAATAATAATTTTTTCAAAGACAAATATCCCTTGAATTGTCGAAAAAAAATCATAACTACGCAGTTAAGACACAATATTAAAAATGTTCTAGAGCTGAACTGTCGCATGAGGACATCTGTTGTTAGTATCACCCCGTATATTTAGCAATAATTTTTTAATTTGTTTAAATGTTTATGATATTGTCCGTATTTTCAAAAATTCCGTTAGAATCGTAATACATTTTAGGTAAATTTAGTTTTTACATGATTATACTCTGACAACTACAAAGACATATGGTCTATATAGCTTATCTATCAGTTCTTTACAGATTCTTGAAAAAATCCATGAACCTGGCGTAACCAAATGGAAATCTTTATAATAATCAAATATAAAACAAAACAAAAGCTTAATGAATACAAAAATCCAATTATTTACAAACAACAACCAATAAAACTACGTTCAAATAAAGTCTTTACTACCGATAAAATTAATCTTTCACCTGTACAATTTTTTTCATTATTTGATTATCAAACAATAAGGTTATTTTTCTAAAAACTTTTTAATATTTTTATTTAAAAAAACCTAATCTCAACTGGGAAAACTCCCACATCGACGTTATTTTGAGAATCTACAGCAAAAAAATAAATCATGTAATCATCAAATGTAAAATGGAAAAAATGAATTGATTTCGTTTCGTCTTTTTGAACAATGGTGATGGACTGAAACCAGCCAAGTTTAGTAGAGAAAAAGTAAATAAAAATAATCAATGAAAAAACGATTTGCAACACGTAAGCAAACACCGGTTGGTCCTTGTTTTGATCAAACTATGTGATATAGATGATAAACAAAGAGATTATGATAATTAATAATCAAAAATTATTACTCTTACATACACAACTATTAAGGTAATTAATGTAAATTTTTTTCTTTTTTTTAATAAAACGGATTCTTTTCTTTCTTTTTTCCGAAGATTGTTGATCGAATGACAAGAGGAAAGTTATATAGAATCTAAATTTATGTTTTTTATGTACATTCATAATTACAATGTAGAAAGAGAACAAAGGTATATTGAAATTAAATTTACGTTTTTTATATTTAAAATTAATACTAATTAATTGAAACATTCATAATTAAAATGTAGAAAGAGAACAAAAGTATATTGAAATTAAATGTACGTTTTTTATATTTAATATTAATACTAATTAGTTGAAACATTCATAATTACAATCAAGAAAGAGAGAGAAAAAGTATATTGAAATTAAATTTACGTTTTTTATATTTAAAATTAATACTAAATAATTGAAACATTCATAATTACAAGCTAGAAAGAGAGAAAAGGATTATGGAAATTAAATTTACGTTTTTTATGTTTAAAATTAACTAATTAGTTAAAACATTTATAATTAAAATGTAGAAAGAGAACAAAAGTATATTGAAATTAAATGTACGTTTTTTATATTTAATATTAATATTAATTAATTGAAACATTCATAATTATAATGTATGGTGATTAGTGACCGTTAGTCGATGATTATTCGGAAATCGTGAGATGCGGTCTGGTCTGGTGTGATGTAGGTCTCAGAAAAACATTTTCTATATCGTGCCAACGTTTCGATCTTTATTGAGATCATCTTCAGGGCTCAAAGTATTTGTTTTCTTTTGTGTAACTGTGCTATTCTTGCGTGTCGTGTTCAAAACAAACAAACACAAACATGACAGGCAAGAATGGCACAGTTACACAGAAAACAAACACTTTGAGCCCTGAAGATGATTTCAACAAAGATCGAAACGTTGGCACGAAAAACAAAAATGTAGAAACCTACATCACACCAGACCGCATCTCACGATTTCCAAATAATCATAATTACAATCTAGAAAGAGAGGAAAAGTATATTGAAAATAAATTTACGTTTTTTATATTTAAAATTATTATTTATTACTTGAAACATTTAAAATACGATTTAGTAAGAGAAGAAAAGTTATGTAGAAACTAAATTTATGTATTTTATATTTAAAATTAATACTAATTAGTTGAAACATTCATAATTACAATCGAAAAAGGGAGAGAAAAAGTATATTGAAATTAAATTTACGTTTTTTATATTTAAAATTATTTCTTATTAATTGAAACATTTAAAAGACGATTTAGTAAGAGGAGAAAAGTTATGTGAAACTAAATTTACGTATTTTATATTTAAAATTAATACCAATTAATTGAAACATTCCTAATTACAAAGCAGAAAAAGAGGAAAAGTATACTGAAAATAAATTTACGGTTTTTATATTTAAAATTATTTCTTATTAGGTGAAACATTTAAAATACGATTTAGTAACAAATAGAAACTTATGTAGAAACTAAATTGACGTTTTTTTATATTTAAAAGTAATACTAATTGGTTGAAACATTCATAATTACGATCTAAAAAGAGAGGAAAAGTATATTGAAAATAAATTTACGTTTTTTTTATATTTAAAATCAGCACTGATTTTTGGCTGACCCTCATCTGCTCAACTCCCTGATTTCGGGATAGTGCTTTTGTGGTGTTCGTAATACGTTAAAGCACCTACAGGATGAATGTAGATAATACGCATCAGTGAGAATAAAATGCAAAATTAACAGCCTAAATCTAAAGAAACAGTGGAAGGATGGAATAATTATCAAACATATCAAACAAATTCCTAAACAAAATACTCAATCCTTTTGCAAAATATAAGAAATTTAATTAATGTTTTTTTAAATAGCAAAAAAATAAACATGCGTGAATCTTTTAAATTACCCAACACCATTCAGATGGCTATGGGAATCATGAATGACCAAAACGGTACCACTTAGGACTATTTATATTTTTAAAAAACTTTATACATAAATAGAAATGATTTTTTGCGTAAAACAAAAGGAAGGAGAAAAAATAGCCCAGTTAAAATTTTAATGGCCATACAAACCTCAGGATATTAATCAACATCAACCGGGGTGGGTGGGAGAGGTACATCTGGGGACAGCCGTCCGACAGGAGCGCCCCGGGCATCATACATCCCTGAGAGTTGCATTCGTCTCCATCATTATTGCCGATCCCGACATTGCAGAACCACATGCTGTGAGTAATTCAACTCGATAACAGTTTAAACTTATTAGACGACTATGAGTTTTGGAATTTTAGTGAAACTATTTCGTCGAAATTTGCCCCCAACTCGGCTACTCATCTTTGGATCAATATAACTCTCGAACTGCCAAGTAAACACGCCCTGTTCCTCTCAAAACAATTCTTTCTCGGCGTCACTATTTTATAATAGCGTTTAACTTCCTTTTGTGTACGAACTCGATTGAAAAAAGTAAAAAAAAAAAGATGATTTTGATAATTAATGAGTTTATTTATTGTTTAAATATGAAAAACATGATTTAATTTTTTAAAATTAATGCAATAAACATTCTAACTTGATCATTTTAATGATTATTCATTACTTTAACAAAAATAAACATATGCCAGACATCCTGACATATTTAAATTGCAACATATGTGCAAAAAGTAAAACTTCAAATCAAGCCACATCCTGAAAGTGTTAAAAAGGGACAAAAAATATTTTTAAATAACAAAGTCCACCCTGTAAAACAATCTTTTGACTTCAATAACTTAATTTATTCTTCTTTTAAGCCCCAAAATAAAATTTAAAAAATAATGTAATTATGTAATTAATTGTTGATGTTATCGAAATGTAACATTTACTCGAATTTCCACGAATTGCGTAGATCGCCTCCGGCTTCGTGCGTACTTCCATATTTCGTTAAGATTTTAAATCGAGCTTTTTTTTACTCAATATTTACGATTTAATTGGATTCTGATTGTAATTATCCTTTGGATTTGTATTTTTCCCCTTCCCCGAAGATTAAGATACAGACGTATTGATTATTGTCTATATTTATACATAGATAAATCTTCCTCTTCATTACACAACGAAAAGAAAAATGTTTAAAAAAGAAAAATAAGATAAAAGAAAGGAAAAACTTTGTATAAATAGGGTAAATATTAAAATTGGACCAATATACAAAAGTATTTAATATTTAATTTTTTAAGACTGATTTTTTTTCTTTATGTCTTTGCGTGTTAGCCTCAAAACGATGTTGATCCGTAAAATTAGATGATTATTTTTGGGGGAGGGGGATCATTCAGAAAATTCCAGGGGTGTCGTTGGTGGTGACATAAACAGCGAAAATAGGCGGTCCATGGACACTTTGCTGGAAAATGTTCTACATCAGAAAATAAACCAAAAACTTTACATTCTTTATTTCGTTATTGTTAAAATAAAAGATATTTTGAATATAATATAGAAATTTTCGTATATTTTCGACCTTTTGTTAGCTTTTTATCAGTTAGGTAATAACAGAAATTGGAATTTAAATAGCTTTTTTTTTTTACTGAACCCAGGTAGAATTTACTTTTAAATTTTCCGATATTTACGTACAGTGGCATCTTTTTTAAATTGTATAACCACGGTTTTTGTCGGAAAGGAGGTCAGAAAAGATTTCCCCCAAGCTGGTAAAAATCAAAAGTTGCGCCGTAGGACTTAACCACCGGTACTTAGCCCCTGGGGGCGAGAGTAACGGCCAATTGCATGAACGGTTTCAACCCACGAACATGCTAATTTCGAATAAAACTTTATCTTATTCGGTGGAATGCAACGACGGCCCTTTTTAACCGTTCGACCTTCGGAATAATTACGTTTAAAAACGGCTATGTGCTAGAATCCAAAGTAGCCCTGGAATGGCGAAAACGGTTAAGTAATGTCGAGAAACTTACATCCATAAAAAATATAATATTATATATTTTACCATAATGTGTGGTGTTTAGTGACCGTTAGATAATGATTATTCGGAGATCGTGAGATGCGTTCTGCTGTGACGTAGGTTTTAGAAAAACATTTTTTTTATCGTGACAAGGTTTCGAGCTTTACTGAGATCATCTTCAGGGCTCAAAGTGTTTGTTTTCTGCGTAATTGTGCCATTCCTGTGTCGTTTTATGAAGGACCCAATTCCTCAGAAAACAAACACTTCGAGCACTGAAGATGATCTCAATAAAGATCGAAACGTTGGCACGGTAAAGAAAATGTTTTTCTAAACCAGACCGCATCTCACGATCTCAGAATAGTCTTTTACCATAATTTTCAATTGTTGAGATTATTATAAATGCGTAGTTGTATTTATGTTTAACATTATTCTCCTTTTAGAAATTTATTTGAGCCAGTTATTATCCAACTTATAAGAACATTTTACCAGAAGACATGGAAAACTTTTGTTTTTCTTTTTTACAACCTATTCTTCTACATCATATTAATCCCATTCGAGGACACAATGGAGTAATTGATACTTTTAGAATTTCTTTTCGTCCGAGGGGAAATGGTGCAGAGGGATGAAAAGAGCCGCCTACAAGGCGTCGGTTGGATAACAGTCAAGACAAATGGCCATTGATCATTTGGAAAAACTTGTTTTCCTTTAGAACTCAGGGGTATTTCTTTCTAACACGAAAACCAAAATTTCGTGACAAACATGCAGTTTTCTTTAAAATTAAAAATAAAAACTTTAAAATGTATAACTATTCTTTCTATGTAAGGTCTCGTTACGTTTTAGTGATCAATTGACCAAGTTAATTCTTTCATTTAATTATTCTTTCTATGTAAGTTCTTGGTTGAGATGAAAAAATTCAGTCACGAGCGGGATTCGAACCCACGATCTTCGGCTAAATGTTGGCTAAATGTATAAAGAATTGGTGTCCGAGTGGATCGAAGTCACGATATCTCAAGTGGTAGAGCAGCGGCGTATTTAGCCGAAGGTCGTGGGTTCGAATCCCGCTCGTGACATTGAATTTTTATATCTCAACCAATACCTTACATATTAAGAATATTTAATTGAAAGAAGTAACTTGTCAATTGACCAAAAACATAAATGCACTGGCGTAACTTTTCTAACAAATGATTTTCAGATAAACAACCCTCCCCGAAAGTAGGGATAAGGATCGAAATCATAATTACGCTCTGCGAATTATGAAATCGCCATACAAAATACGATAAAATTCGAAAGGGCACGTTTTAAAACTAAAATTCTTCTAATAAACCAGCAAAAGTTGGAAAATGCTTCGAGAAAATGAAAGGAAAAATGTTTAAAAGATCTCTAATACTAAATAAAACATTCAAAGACTTCTTTCAATCATCACGAATCTGAATCAATACAAACAACAAACATCACGCACTATTAAAGGTAAAAAAAGTCTACTGACGTGAATTCCTGGTCATATTTCTGCCCTGATCCGTCTAATATTTTTTATTTAAACAACCCCCTAATGAAAACGATCGATAAATTTAAGGTTTATGCTGACGATTTTCAAATTAAAGCCTCTCAGAAATCAAATTTTAGAATAATGAGACGCGCCGAATCATCAACTTGCACGTTATTAACGATGAATTGTAATGAAGACAATCAAATTTGGCACAGTCCTATTCCAACTGCCAGAGGAAAATAATTTGTTCCTTTTTGTGATTTTAATGAATGGTCAGACCCAGATGATCAAAAATGATCAACCTACAGCTTAATAAACACGATGTTAAAGCATCGCAAAAAAAAATAAAACTTACTACACATGCAAAAAACAGTATAATCTGTCTCTTCGCCAAGAAAATCTATGGAATTAAATCTCTCAAAAGATTAGACTGTAAAAAAATAAACTTAAAGAATATTTCTCATTGCTAAATAAGCTAATGTTAATGTTACAATAAAACTATGTTAAAATTATTTTTCTTCTTGAAAAAAACCCTGGGTGAAAAACTCTATTCGCTCACCGTAAAACCATCTAGTCAAAGATATAAACCTCGTCAGGAATATCCATGAAATCAGTGTGATGAATAACATCAAAACCTCCAGACCGGACCATCGCGACCAGGCCCTCTGATGCCAAGCTGGCAGTAAAGAACATGATAAAAGAAAGATGGCTGTGTCAGTGGGCCGGGTCATCCGAGAGGCTTTTGCGCATCAAGAGCACGATTTATAGATGGCCCCCTGAGAACCTGAGCTGGAAACAAGGAATCGTCCTTACGCGATTAAGAATAGGCCATACGCGGTTGATACATGGGCACCTGCACTTAGGCCAAAGCCGGTGCAGGTGCCCCTTATGCAGAGAAAGGTTGCTCGATATGTCCCACATACTGGAAACATGTCATGCCTTGGCTCCCTACAGAGAGCGTGTAGGCATGCCATCCAATCTGAAAATGGTACTCGAGCACTGCAGCGAGTTTCTGGGTCCCCTGTTCCGCTTTTTAGGGGAAATTGGGGTTTTTTATTGTATACAATATGTCTTATGTGTTGTGTGCCTGTATGTTTTGTCTGAGTGCATGTATTTATTAGCGTGAATGGCGAGGGGTGAGGGTGAAATATAACATCATCTCCCCTCGAACGTTGAGAGCGTAAGAGTGTGTGTTCGGGGTCGATGGCGGAATATTTATAAAAGTAGTCCATCGACCCCAATCTAGATTAGTTTGAGTATAGTTCGCTGGAGGAATATCAAGTACTCCACCGACCAAACGGAATGAGTGTACTGTATGGATGTATTTATGTGTATGAATGTATTTATTTGAATGAATGTAGTGTTTAAAGGGTAAATAGAATATAGACTTAGTTGGGGGCTGAAATGACCTAGATGAACAAAGAAAAAACACAATCAAAATTGCCTAAGAAGAAAAGATTAAACAAAAAAGATCAAACAAATTTTGCTTGGAAATAAAACCAATGGCGCAATGGCAATTATAAGCTGATCATGATAAACAGATTATCAAATTATACTTTAAAAAATTACTTTCTAATTAATAACCTACTGGAAAATATGTTTTATAGTTTATTTTTAGGAATGAATAAACTTCTGTAATATTTTTATTATTAATTTTAATAGCTGATCTAAGATTACAAAATCAATCAATTGTGTCCAGCATGTAGAAAAAGGTTGCTTGTCCCACTGAATTGAATAGTGCCAATCCTTGGCTCCATATGGAGAGCGTGTAGGATTGCCACCCGTTATGAGCGTTGTGCTTGAGTACAGCAGCAAGTGTTTGGGTCCCCTGTTCCAATTTATGGAAGAAACACGGTTCTTTGTACAGTAGTCATCAAAAGATCATGAAAGGAATCATTCGTGACTTGAAGAAGTTCCAACTTGAACCACTAAAAGTTAACTGGTTCAAATTTTAGACAATCAACTCTATCGAACCAACAATTCTCATGACTGATTTTGTTCAACTTTAATTATCTTAAATTAATATTTTAACTTAATGATGAACACATGGAACAGAATACTGAAAGCCAATTGTATTAATTTGATAATATTTTTTACTAGTTTTAAGATTTAGAAACGCTCTTTTTTTAGGGGTTTTTTTTTAATTTTTATCCTTAATATAGTGTATTCTAAATACAAGATTATTGTCTAGTTATTCTTTGCTGTATATCTTCAAAAGCTGCCTTTTGTTAGTTGTTTTGAAATATTTTATTGATTAAATAAATGTTAAAGTTTTGATTTTTTTTTTTCAGAAGAGTTAAATTCGAGAACAAGTATTTTTAAATCAATCAAAATGAGATTCGTAAAGAAATTTCGCAAGGCGTCCTCTGAAGCCGAGAGTTCTTCACCAACTCCGACAACATCCACTGCATCAATAGAAGCAAGCGGATCTTCGGATGTATCGACAACAGGCGATTCAGAGTCAACTCAGCTTTTGGACACAATGCCTAACCATCCTCCACCAAGTTACGAGCATGTCCTCGCCGAGGTAAAAATACTCCTTAAATGTTTGTTATGTTAAGAAATTTTGGTTTGTCTATACAAAAAACGACCAAACTACAGGTCACTCACCCCAAGAAGAAATCTCATAATTTAATTGTATAATTTGTTCCAGTCGGCTATGCAAGAAAGGGAAATGTTAGAAAAGGAAGCCATGGAAGAACAGAAAGAGGAGAACAAACAAGTGATTGTGGTGCATAAGTCAACCAAAAAGCTATATCGGGCTCTTGCAGCCCAGTGGGGCATCACATGCAGAATGAGCGATCACTGCCCATGTTTAGACTGTCAGGTATGTTAATAAACTCGAATAAAATATATCTCCAACTTTCTTTGGAATCAAATATTTTAAATGATTTTTTCCCAGGGGCACTACTTTGATTGTGAGTATGACCGGGATAATGAGCAAGAGAAGACTGATGGCGGTCTCGGAGCTGGTACGCCCATGTTTATATCCGAGGTCATGCACGGATCAGCCTGTTCCATCTTATAAGGAGATATGGCATTGAAGGATAAATATAAATTACTCCTTGATATTGTTGTGGTTTTCGCCGTTCTAGAGAGCTTAGAGCATTTTTACTCTAGAACCGTATAGACAGGGCGGTCAGGTTGACAGAATAAAAGAGAATTGAAATGGCTGCCCAATGCTATTACATACTGCTAGTATAATATTAAAGAAACTTTTTTGAAAAGGAGCTTAGATCGTTGGAAAGGAAAAAGTACAATTTCTACATTTTTTTATACTTCAAGTTTTCCCTTTAAAAGACTGTCGAAAAATAATTTTTTGGTTTTAGATAGGTGTAATCGTACAAGACTGCTAAACTACTAATTTTATTACTCGATTTAAAAACTAAGTTTTATTTTGCAAATTTAATATTTTAATTTGATAAAATGTTCAAAACTGTTCCATTTTACAATTAGACAATTAATGAACTACTAATTAAAGTAATGAATAATTTTATTTGTAGTACAAACTGATGAAGGCATATTGATACCGTTGAATAAAAGGATTTAAAGGATTTAAAACAAAATAGATTATATATGTTTATTAGGTAGATTTAGAGCATCAGCCTGCAAAACTTGTTTTGGCCTTAGTGCATAAAATTAATATAACTATTAGAAAATAAAAGAATGATATATAAATAGAATAAAAATGGATGCACTAAAATTTTTCATCGATACCTCTGACATTTTAATACTTATATTTTATTCAGCACAAAGTTAATCGTCAATTAAAACAACAAATATACATTCGGAATAGTAAATAAACTGCCTTCATTGTGATTCTAAATGATAATTTAGCCGATTTGACAAATTTTTTAGGTGGCCAATATCCAATTGACAATTTTATCTGTACCATCAAGACTTAATATATGCGATTAAATTAAATTTGTTTTTAATTGTTAATCTGCCAATAATAGGCACATTTGAAAATTTTATATGATGAAGAAGAAGCAGAGCTGCTTCAAAATATACAACTTTAAAAAAAGTTAACTGGTTGAAATTGTTCTTAACAAAAACCAGAATACAGTTAAAATTCGGTACAATTATAAATTTGATAATTAGATTGAAGCGTAACTTTTTATCTAAAAAAATGGAATGAAATAATATCAATTCTTGCTCTTCTGAAATAATATTTTAAATTGAACTGTAAGTCAGACATCTTTTTTTTTTTTTTTTTTTTTTTTTTTTTTTTTTAATTGCACTGGAAAATCTGGATTTGGCCACCCATAAATCTAGGAATTAGGAAGTGCTAGTACTTTATACTTCTAGAAATGAAAAATACACAAACTACTAGAATATTTTTATCATATAACTTAATTGAGATGGTTGTAGAAGTGGCTTTAGAAGTATCTTTAGTTGGTTTATTAAGAAAAAAAACTGTCTGTTTTTACAAGAATTATGGAAAGAAATATTATATTTTTGTAACACTTTCTACTAATGTAGGCTTTTTGTATGAAATTTGACGAGTTTGATCGTACTTTTCAAACCTTATTCCCCCCTCTATATTATTTTTTCCTGTGTACTTTATCCTTTATATTGCTTTATAATTAAAAAAAAATATATATATATTAAGATCCATTAAGAATGTTAATGTTATGATTTTAATTTAATAAATGAACTTAGTTTTGTTCAATTTAAAATATTTACACTTGTTTGACTTTTCAGAATTGTACTAATTCATATTTTAATTAGATAATTTTTTATTATATTTGAAGTGATACAAGAACATCATTGGAAAAAATGTATGGGGTTACAGTGTTGAAAAATGTACACGAGGGTCTGAAAAAGCCATTTTATAAATCAATCAAAAATGATGCATTACAATCGTTATTTTTGCAAATCACTTGTAGAAGTTGAATTCTTATGAAACTAATCGTCACATAGATCGTAGATGGTGCACAAAATTAATTATTGTATTATTATAAAAACATAAATGTATCACTTCAGTGTTTAAAACCTCTAGAATTTAAGGAAAATTCAACAAATTGGGTAGAAAAACAAATAAAAAAATAACCATTGTTTATAATCAAAGTTATATATTATATTCCTCAGTATAAGAAATTTGTGTAGTTATTTATACCCAAACACTTTCATTTTCTGTAAGGTTTTATAGATCGTCCCTGGTCATTGTGTTTGCCTATTCTGGCTGGATTTGAACGCATTTCAATACCTTCAGAAAAACGAACCGTTGAAGATTTTTTTTTGAAATTTTAGGGCTGTTTTTGGAGTGGTAAAACCCTCTCAAAGAAATAATGTCCTTATGTGGTGGATAATCAATTTTAATAGAACATTAACAGCATTGTTGTTGAGGGTCAGCTTGCACTGCTAGCCAATCCAACCTTTCAAGCTGAAGTCCATTTGGCAGAAAGTTGCCAGACAGAGAATCACACCGACAAAGAAGCCCCTTCATCCTTTTTTGGGAGTAAGAACCTCAACCTTCGTAGGTCTTCACACCAACAGACATGGTGCCCTGTTTCTTTTTCTTACAGTCAATCTGCAAAGGCTTGTTTCTGCTGCTCCGAGTCTATGCGTAGCATTCAGAGTGTCCTAGTTGTTAGTTTCTGCTGCTCCGAGTCTATGCATAGCCTTCAGAGTGTCCTAGTTGTTAGTTTCTGCTGCTCCGAGTCTATGCATAGCCTTCAGTGTCCTAGTTGTTAGTTTCTGCTGCTCCGAGTCTATGCATAGCCTTCAGAGTGTCCTAGTTGTTAGTGTCTGCTGCTCCGAGTCTATGCATAGCCTTCAGAGTGTCCTAGTTGTTAGTTTCTGGTCTTTTGATTGACTTTTTGGCATGCCTCTGTTCTGGAATACATTCTTACACTCATTCTTAACCTATCTGTTGGATCTAAGTTGTAGGCAATTTGGTATGCCACAGAAGGGTCCAGGGATGATAGGCGTCCACATTGAACTTTCCATGGCCAGTTTTTCAGGCAACTCGTTGTTCCACCACCCTGTGTACTGGTACCTCAACAAGGGTTTTGTTGATGTCACCAATGTCGAGGATGCAAGGGAGTTGGAGGTAATTGCCTTTAATGCCTGCACAGATGCTACACTTTTGTTGGTAAAGTCTTTTTACCTCCTTGGCACAGTGTTCAGTAGTCTCTGCTTGAAAGAAAGTCTCCCCAAGGCTTATTTGATTCTAGTCCTTTGTTTATTTAAATGAATACCAACTCCTGACCCATATCGGTCCTAGAGCCATCTGCTTACTAGATATATCAGGTATTTTAATTTAAAAATTTCTTTTTAAATATGAATTTTTAATCATAACATCAACAGGCATCCCTAGTACCTTGTCTGCCTGAAATTCTCCCCGAAACTTTAATTGCTACTTTTTATGCAAGACTTGACTTAAGCTTTTCTTTCTTCGATAAACATTTTCTTTATTGTGGCAATGTTTTGATCTTTATTGAGATCATCTTCAGGTCTCTAAAGGATATCAATAAAGATTGAAACGTTGGCACAATAAAGAAAATGTTTTTCTAAACCTACGTCACAGCAGACCGCATCTCACGATCTCCAAATAATCATTAACTAACGGTCACTAAACGTCACACAGTTATTTAATGTGGTCTTTATGACAAGTTTATTATCAATGAAGTCATTTTGCGTCTAATTGACAAAAAGCGTTTATCAAATAGGTCGATTCAATTGCAGATCTTACCACAAATTTTTAATATTTATATAATCTGTCAGATTGGTCCATGATGTGTTGAAATTTGGTCATTACCAACATTTTGGTGTGCCTATCCTCACTGGGTTGGTCTATCATATGCATTTTGGCCTTTCATCATCTTCAGTATCCAAAAATGCTGGGGCAGAATTAAAATAAAAATGGTGAGATGTTTAGAAAAAGGTGAAATTATACAAGCAGGATGAGTACGACCAAATAAATTGATTAAATCACAGCCTCATCACAATTCATTTTATATTGTATATATATATAAGTGCTGAATTATGCATTTTCGATTTGCTTGGGTGCAAATTTCTAATAAAGAGAACATTTCTTAAAAGTATTGCTCAAATTTGTCAAAACTGTGTGGTGATTATTATTATTATTATTATCAAAACTGTTGCATCTCTTGGTTGAATCCATGTCTCAATTGCAAGACTTTTCAGTATAGTAAAAATATTTCAGTTAAAAAATAAAAAAAATTATACAGCTATCTTAAACTATTAGTACTTGGGCACTTTGAACATACCTAGCATTGAAGATCACAAGAACATGAAATGTGCCTAGAAAACCAAACCAGCAAGGACAGACAAATCAAAATGATCAAAAACAAATTAAATGTAATTAATTATTTGAATAATTGGCATTCTGTATGTAATTAAGGGATGATTAATAAAAAAAACTATGGATTAAAATGAACAATTTCTTGTTTTTATTTGAACTATTTTACATTATATAAAATCACAGATATTGGTTTTAAAATGAAGACTAGATTATTTAAGTCTGAGCCTGGACCCTTGATTTTTTCATTTTATCTATCTTTTTGTTGCTATACTGTATGGATTTGAATATTCCAGCAGTAAGGATTCCTTTGAGACTCTGCTGTATACTAGATTTTAAAACTATTTTCGACAGGCAGTGCTCCAGCATCTTGCTTAACTTAGTAGTAACAGCAAGATCCTGCAGAACGTCTTCCGCATCTCCTCTCCGTCTTCCTCCGTGCGCCCGCCAGTACTTGACCAATTCTTTCTGCGGCAATGTCGGAAGTTGGAACAGATGGTAAATCCTCGTCGCAGTTGACATGTCCTGCATCATAGGTTTGTCCACCTCATCTTCGGCAGGTAAATCAACATAGTCGGTCAGCGTTTTCAAATAAGGCTTGTATAATTTTCTAAACTTTAGAAGCTGTTTGTCAAGTATGTTGTTGATTTTGTTTTTGTCCTCGCCGAAACGCATTCGGAAATCTCCCCTGTAAGAAAAGTCAGCGATGGTGTGGTAAAGCTCCCTCTCGCTGAAAACTTCAGGAAGGAGGAGGAATGCAGTATGCAGCGCGCTGAATAGATTCTGCCTCAGCGGCATGTCCAACTCGTCACCTGGTTTTTCAAGTATCTTGATCGGTTTGTGCATACGCCCGGAGAGATAGAGCGAATTCCAATCGAGAAGATCGTTGATGAGATCGGATTCGAGCACGACACCATATTTAATGACAACATCTACTTCCTTCAACGGTACCAGAGTGTTGAAATAAACATTGGCAGGTAGTTTTTCTTGAATAAAAGAGATACAATACGGCCCTAAGTGCTTGAGCGCTGAATAATGACTCGGATTCGTGGCGATGTTCTCCTTGTGAAACCCTACGCTGTTGTTGACACAGAAAATCAAATCGATCATCGGCTTGCCCATTGACACACCACCTTGCCTGAACACCCCTGAGCCATAGGCAAAGCAAAATCTGATGTACTGTCGGGGGAAAATGGAGAGAATTCTTTCAAACAGAGGTGGCACGACAGACACCAAAGCTGAATTTGCCATGATCTAATTATTTAATTAAAATCCCCAATAACGACGATGTAAGATACAAAGCATACCTACAGAAAGGTAATGTTCACTATCATCCTCAACTTCTAGACTTCTGCAGTATCATAGAATTTTAGAAGAATTTTATGATCCATCAGGTTAACGTTCGTTGGTTAAACCTCTCTTTGTAGCAAAAACATTGTTCCCACTTACTCCAACATATTTAAACTTCCCTTCTTAGCATAAAATTTACCACTTCTTTCAAAATCCATTTTGCTGTCTTCTTATAAAGAAATTCATGTCCTAATACATATAAACTATGACACCCATAAGTTGGAATTTTTTACAAATTAGAATATCTATTAATTTTAAATTGTCTTTTATCTTATAATCTTGTTAATGTATCAATAGCATTTCTTTAACAGAAAATTTCTTTAAAGTTCTGCAGGATAATGTTTTGCCATGTTGAACTGATCGACACAGATCCGTTGTATACTCAGTAAAATGATCTGTTTCGTTCAGTTCATCGTGTTTTCACCCACTCTTCAACTGACAAATACAACTACATACATTTTGTCATGTTTTTATTTATTTCATTGGTAAAAATAAGGCCACCTACAGAATATGATAGACTGATTTTTTAATTCATGAACAATAATTATAAGTACGGTGTTGTTTATGGCAGTTATATTTTTGATTTTATAAGCAGCCACATCAGCCAAAGAAATGACTTAAAGTGTTAAGTGTGTTTGTTTGTAGCCATTTACCAATAATTTTTTTTCTTAGGGTTTGAAAATTTTGGGTCATTCGCACACCCCAAAGCAAAAGAAAACTTTTACAGGAGAGACAAATGGGAGTTACTTTTTTTGTCTTATGTATTTATAGTTGTTGGCAATAAAAACTGTCATGATCGATCAATATTGTATTTTGTTTCTCGAAGACTTAAGCGAAAATACAAAACTTTAAACACTTAGCTGTACTACCCCTAAAAAACTACCCCTTTTTGAATTGTGACACTTTTCTTGCATATATTGGCTCTCACTAATTTTTAGTTTGTTTGCTCTAATGAAAATGTTGGTCATTAAATGACTGTAAGGGTATTAATTTCTTTGTGATAGTAACAGATAACATACAAACCTAACAAACAAGCATAAATATCCATGTAGTAAGTTTTATTAAGATTATTTTTGACCCAAACTAATATGCTTTCCTCCTGGAATCAGGGCTAATTAGAAAACAGAAAACTTGAAAAATCCAGCTGTACCACCCCTAAAAAACTACCCCTTTTTAAGTTTTGACATTTTTCTTGCATATATTGGCTCTCACTAATTTAAGTTTGTTTGCACTAACGAAAATAATGATCAATGAATGACGTCCTGGAGTCAGAGCTAATTACTTATTTAAAATACAAATTTAATTATTGAAGTAAAGGTTTTATTGATTATTTAAAAAGTTGTAATTAAAACATTTAAAAAAATCTTTGAAACTAAAATAATTTAGAAGTTAAAAGACAACATTATTAAACAATTATGAAAAAAAAATTATAATTCAGAATGTTATTAAAATAAAAGAAATGAAACTAAAATAATAAAATAATTCATGATCACTCTGGATCAAGGTGAAAAGAAAGCAAATTCAGTTGTTACTTCCAAGCTTTTGAACTATTTTAAGGTCATCATCAGAGCCTATATTAATTTCACATTATGAAAAACATATTTATACAATTTATTTAATATATATATATTTTTTTTTACGAGGGTTCACCACAGCAGAGGTTATATCAACCCTCGGGGTGCCGGTGTTTTTGAAAAAAAAACAACCCATTTGTAAGTATGTCGGGTCAAATGCAGGACCACTGGATTCGAACCTGAGACTTCTACCTTACAGTGATGAGTATCGTGTCAACGCCTAAACCGTTGCGGCCTCCCCCCTCCCCCCGATTTAATAATTGTTTTTCATAATGTGAAAATGTAACTCCAGTATAGCATAAAATACTTCATTAAACAAGAAAAAACTGACATAACTGAAAATGTGCCACTTTTCCTGATAAATACTCATGCCGATGGTATAAAGCTTGACACAGAACTAAGGTATGACACTTTCCAGTGCGCTCCCATCAATACAAAAGTGACACTTGGTGCTGAGTCCAGTTGTGTCATTTTTCCTACAGCATCACAAACCCAAATACTAGAAAAAAAACCCACTAAATAATCCGGTTTTTATAATTTTTCGACTTGTGTCACTTTTCTTGTGGGTGTGCAATATGTCGAGACTAATCAAAAAGTAACGTACAAAAATTGTAAAACACAGTTGGAAAAGCTTAATATGTTTATTCAAACCCAAATAAATCTGAAAAACATCCAACAATAAAAAGGGGTAAATCAATATAAAATCAAGAAATAGCTTTTTTTATATCAATTTTCAGGTAATGATGATATATTTACTGACATTTTTTTAATCTGTTATAGTATCAGACAAACAGCTGTGGATGGTATGGTTGGCCTTCATTACATACAATAATATGCAATAGTTAACAATAATAGACATTTATAAATAAAATAAAATAAATTTATCCTGGCTATTAAATACAATAATTTGTTGAAGTTGTGGAGGAGGGGTCAGGAATGAATCATTTTAGAAAAACACTTTTTCATTTTTTTGCTGACATTTTGACCTTTATTCGGATCATCTTCAGGGCTTAAGTAAATTACAAAATGTATGTTGATTGGAAAAAATACAATACAGATGTCATTAATTTAAATTTTGAGCCAAACATTTCATACCAACATAAAGTATGAGTTTATTTATAAGCGGTAGAATGTTAAGTTTACAGAATATGTTAATATAAGAAGAAACATGATTTATTGGTTTAGGGTCTTCTTTAGTAATATCTTCTCAAATATTTTAGAAAGTAATGTAAAAATACTTTTATTAGGTGTTGGGGGGGGGGGGGAATAAGAATTTGTAAAAAAATTTCCTCCACTGTGAGCTTGGAAAGTGCACTTTTTCTTTTAAGCCTAAGCACTTTCCTCGATGCCTCTTCATGCACTTTTTTTGGTGTGAAATTACCTTACTGAAGTGGCTGTACTATAACCAGGCTATTGCATCACATTAACAGAGTGCTCACTCTTCCTGACAGAGTGTGTTTGTCTGTTTTGCTGTTGGGTTTCTGTCTCTGCTTTGCCCATCTTAGGTGTTATTTAGGTGGTTAAGAGAGAATATAGAGGTATACTACTCTGGTATGGAAGCCTATAATTTTCCTCAAATCCTACCTACTGAGAGAGAGGAATTCTCTCACCTTCCTTTTTGAGTGATTTATAAATCTCTTACCTTGCCTCGTATCTGATGCTTGTGTCCAGTTCTTAAGTTATTCTTTCCCAAGCCACTTTTCCAGTTCCAACTTAAGCACACACTCCAGTGCACCTAGTTGCACTGATTGGTGAGAGGGCTGGCCTCTTTTTAGACTGTTGGTCTGCCTCTCAGACAAGTTTAGAATTGAAAGTATACGCATTTTGTGTCTTTGTAGCTGCCTGGCTGTCTCAGTGTGTGCAAATCTATGCATCTTTCATATTTTTCTTTATTAACTCCTGTGCACAGAGTTGTATTGCGTTGACCTCAGCTTGGAAAATTGTTAGGATTAGAACAAAGGGGCTAAGTTCGGCCCTTATTCCGCATGCCTACTCCCTGCTCCATCTTGAATCCATCTGTGTACTATAGGGCCTCTTCCTGAAAATTGAGGTCTACCTTTCTTCCAAAAGTTCCATTATCTACGACCACTTGGAAGGGCCTGTCAAAGTTGAGTTTTTCTTTCATTTTGTCAGGTACTGTTAACAAGAAATAAATTTGTAATCAAGAGTTTGAAGAAATTGATCAAGTCAATATTACCTCAACAGAAGAGGATCAAGTAACTATAATTAAAAAACAATAAATTGACAAAACAGTTTCCATTAATTAAATTTGGAGCTTTTAAGCAGAATTTAGCTCACACGATTCACAAGCAGCCTTAAAAGGCAACACATGTATTCTAATCTTAAAATTACTAGTACTAAAAATTTAAATGCGCAAAATGAAAGTGTATATAAAATGAAATAATGAAAATTTTCAAATGGAAATCCTTTATTACAAAAACAAAAACTTTCCAGTATTCATTTAAAATTAAACTAATGCAAATGTTGCTACTAACTGCTAACAATATACAAGGTGTTCAGCTACTCGTATTACAAACTTTGCCAATAGTTTCTACATTCAAAATGGAACCAAAAAGTACTAATTAACCATGGTCCGAATCTCAACAGTTTCGGAGTTATTCCACTTTTTTGATTTTTTAAGATTTCAGGACTTTGCTTCTGGTAAAGAATGATAACTCCAAAACTAAATGGTTGTGGACAAATCTGTTGATACCATTGATAACTAAGTTAATTTCTAGTAAGATGTGATCAATACTAAACATGTAAATGTTGGTGAAATAAGCATTTTAGTAGCCAGAACTTTGAAAAAAAAATTAAAACTGAAAAACTTACTATGGCTATTTTAAACTACTATTTCCAAACGTAGAGACCAGCAAATTTCAGAAAACATACTCCATTTAATATCCTTTTCAGTGTTGCGATTGCTTTTTTAATTACTTTTTCTTCAAAATTTCCTTAAGTTTTTTTTAATTTTCCACCTTCCCAATCTGTCAGCCACGGCTTTTTCCTTTCCTTCATCAATTTCTTCATCTTTGAAAAAAAGTAATTAAAAAACCTACACCATTAAAAGGGATATTAAATAGACCACGTTTTCTGAAATTTGCTGGTCTATAGATTGGAAATAGTAGTTTAGAATCACCATAGTAAGTTTTTCAACATCGAATAAAAAATTATTTTTTAATGTTCTGACTACTAAAACGCTTATTTCACCAATCTTTTAAAGTTTAGTATTGAGCACGTCTTATTAGAAATTTAACGTAGTTTTTAATGGTATCAACGGATTTGTCCAAAATATTTTTGTTTTCGAGTTATCATTGTTTATTCGAAGTAAGGTCGTGAAATCTTAAAAAATCAGCAAAAGGGGAATAACTCCAAAACTGTTGAGATTCAGACCATAGATAATTAGGACTTTTTGGTTCCATTTTGAATATGGAATCTATTGGCAAGGTTTGTAACACGAGTAGCCGAACACCCTGTACACTAATAAATAAGAACATTATTA